GGTAATGTTGTTAGTATAATTTTATGATCTTAGATCATTTTCTTCATTATCATAATAACCGGTGTTTTTCAGTTAAATTGCATAAAGAATATACCAAGAATAAATCATATAACTTCAATAATAAATTGCATCAATTTGATTGAATGATAAAAAATAAAATCTTTACTCTATTTTAAATATATATTTGATCTAAATTGAGAATTTCATTTTATTTGTGCAAATTTTGCATTGTATATTTTTTTAATTAATAAAACAATGAACGAGTGACCAGCTGACCCGATGCAACTGTCACAAATTGCGGCACTTTGGGGAAAACTTCAGGGTTGAACTTTCGAAACTTCGGAAAACTGGCCGTTAAATCCTCGTTATCGTTAAAATTAATCCGAACTTACGGCGTCACAACTTCTTGGCTTATAACACAGCATGCGCAATATAAGCGATTCGTCAAAAAACAATTATTAATATAATTTAATTGCACACACACACACACATACACACACACACACACACACAACCTATGATTAATTTAAATTAACTTAAACAGTTTGTCCTTTAAATTTCTGATATACACATAACATATATATATTTTTTATTTAATATGAAATGTGCAAGTTATTTTTGATGTCATGTTTTGTGTTCAATAAATAGACAGAAAAATAGATATATGTAAAAAATTTATTTAAAAAAGTTTCAATGTTTTATTTTTAAGTCATGCATATAAAATATGGCTTTAGGAAATATCTAGTCAAGAACTACATGTATCATATGTATGATTTTCTAAGAATAACTTCTATTATATAATATATTTTGATATACATTTATAAATAATTAATTTAATAATATGTAGCAACAATTAAAAATGTTAATTTATATTAATGTTAAAAAATTAAAATCTTATTTATAACATTGTTATATTATCAATAAGTAATGAAAAATGAGAATATTTGTAATAATACATAATTTTTTAAATTATTTAAATATTATTATATCTATGTACAGGTATTTTTTAAAAATATTAGGTATTTTTTGAAAATATATCTTTGTTAATGTATAGATATACATATTTCTTATACTTTATTATACATGTTATCGTTTAATAAATTTTACTTTACAGAAAATTAAATTATACGTAAAACAAACAGAGGAAAATCAAGTGTTATTGGATTATATAATATTGCGGATCATCTCGAAGCAAACAGTTGGTTCGATAGCGAGACGTAGTGGTTTGCTAGGTGCATCTGCAGACAGCAATTTCATAGCTGCCGTGCTTGTTTTGCAGTATATATCTACGCGTATGCAACTATGATCAGCCGATCCGGAGAAGAATTTGATCCGCAGTTGATCAAAGGCGATGCATCAGGGATCATGGAAGAGCGAAAGCGCATTCAAACTCGCAGCACGTATTCAATTTTTCTCTTGAAAATATCGGTGACACGACGGCAGTACTACGACGGAGTATTGTCTCTCGAGTTAAATGCCGCCTCTCGAACTCTTGTGCAAACTCACATTCGGAGGATTTTCACACGACAATCGCGACGTTCAAGTTACATGTCATCTGGATTTACGACGCTTGGTTGAAAATGATAAAGGATAGAAATTGAAGTGTTTGCTTTCTCAAATTGTATTGTAAAACACTGTATTGTAAAACATTTTAGTTACCTTATTTCCGTAAATCGTGATAATTAGAATAAAATAGTTCTCTATTTTCTGATAAACTTTTATTTTAATTTAGGTATATATTTTTTGATATTTATAGTATGAATCTTTTAATGAAATAATGAATCAAATTTTCCTGGTACTCCTACATCTCAATTTTTACTACAATTTAACTACAGAGCACTGCTTATATTTAACGAAGAAAATTTTCCCTCTTATGTTTCTCAATTTTTGCTACAACTTAACTGTAGAACATTGTTGGCTATTTAATGAAGAAAAGATGTTGACATTCTTAGACTATTTAACAACCTCATCGTAAAAAGAATTATATCATATATATTATATCATATATATTATTTTACCTTTTACATTCACGTTTTTAAAAAGTTATCGCAAAATGTTGTAGACATTTGACATATAAGATGTACTCGTATAAACTGTAAATGTTAATTATGTAAATTATAATTTTGGTTTATGTGTAATTTGGCTGATGTAAATTATATTTTTGGCTCACAGAATAAATAGATAATTAGTTATAGATATTATATATTTATAGTCTGTACAAAAATCAAAGCAAACATACCGTGATTCCTAGAATTTTTAAGTATATTGAATAATTTTTTGACCAAGAATGTCGAAAATTTAATGAAAGATATGAATGAATAATCTCATTTTATAAAATCGAATTTGATTTTTGTCTTGAATCGATCTTGATCTTTTATTCTGATTTCGGAGACACAGTTGGTCACACTATTATTGCATCCTTCAAATTTTCGTCTGAAATATTTTTTTAAAAAATAATATCTAACAGAATTATAGAACCTCTTTGATTTAAATCCACTCTATATACTAATATTTACATCCAAGATATCAAAATACTTTTATTCTATTGCAGAAACACTGCGCATCACAGAATATTAGGTTGTCGCTGCAAATGGCGACTTGTTTGTCTCATGTTCGACATATAGTCTAATTATATCGGTACATGTTGACCGTCGATTTCCCTGAGCAGAACAAATCGATCGCGTGTCATCTGTCCACTGGCTTTGAACTATTCGTTTTCTTTGGCCGAGTATTGTTTCTTTTGTCCTCGTGGTTAGACGTCTCTCGTGATTCTATTCGCAAAATTGTATTATTTCTTATCGATATACGTATCGGCTCGACCTCCAAAATTCCGTCCAATACTCGCGATGCAAAAATGATTTGTGTCGGAGAAACAGATAGTTCTATGTAAAAGCAATCTGCGAACATAAAGAAAATTTTATTCATCTAATATCTTCTCTTCGTTTCTTTTTCAAAAGCTGTTACATAAAATAAAGGTAAGTAAAAATTGAGTCTAAAAATAAAATCTTACACTTTAAGTAAATATCTGTTTTGAGATTAATATAGAGATACATTAAAGAAAAAAATTTTCAAATGCATTTATCTTTTGATATTAACATTAATAATTTTTGAAATTTGTTATCATTTGTAACATTTAAAAAATAATAATTCATATTTATTTTTATACGCTACAAAAAATTAGATAATATTACACCTATAATATATAAGTGTAATAATAGAATAAATTAATTAATTCTTAAATTAGTGTTACAAAATTTTAATTGAGTTTTTTTGATATTTTTTAATAAAATATAGGTTATATTGTTCTAATAAATATATATAAGTTTACAATAATAATATAAAAATGGAAGATGACAACGATCTTTTAGTTTTAATTTTGTTAAAAATTTTATAAATAATTTTGTGAATTATTATGTATAAATATATGTATATATTATATAAATTTTGATTGTAAGAAAATTTATTTTTTTAAAACACTTAAGATATAAGTGTTTTAAAAAAATATATATAATTATATACGTATATAATTTCAATTGCGTTTTGTAGTGGTTACGTGTAAGAATTGTTTGTTATCAGATGTCTCAGATTCTTATTCTTGCACATGCAGTTAATATATAGGATGTCATCGTTAATAAATGATATATAACCTCGATTTTTTACTACTGAAAAACAATTTTATTAATCGACAGTACATTTTGTGTGTGTGTGTGTGTGTGTGTATGTGTTATAATTTTACAACAATTCTAAAGATCGTGTTGTTTTTTCTTATGTTCAAATTTCATGATTGTTTTAAATTTATTTTTTTTTCTATACTTACGATCTTGTCTATTTTGTTAATTATTCATATACCTATGAATTCATAATCCATGTAAACAATCTCTGCGACATAGACTTTTATAAGGTAACCAATATAAATTGATTTAATAATTTATACATTTATATAGAGATATTAAAAATAATACTTAGCAATAAAATATAAAATAACGCATAATAAATTTTACAATTTTATTGTGTAAATTTGAGTACTTATATAAAAATAATTTTTGACAAATTGATGCAAAAATTAAGATAAAGACTTAAAGATATAAAATGTAAGGAATTAGCAAAATTAAAAGAAAAAGAATTAAACATTTTTAATTAAATAAAAAATGAGATAAAAAAATAAATAATGACAAAAAAAGTCACTCGATTCCAGGATGAGATTTACTAAAAATTATTAAATAGTTTACTAAAATATATTATAGTAGTGTAATAAAGTATCAACTATTCATATTGAATTAATCAAATTTTTTTGCTAACCTTAGTAAGCAATTTCTATAATAAATAATTATTACTGTTAAATTGCAGTAACAATTCAAATTAATAATACGTTAATAACAAGTTTCGTAATGACATTTTCTCATCTCTATTACAATATGCATTTACAATATAATATACTATAGAGAGCATACATTTAATTATATGAATACAAAAGCTATATATATTCTAAAATATATTAATAATTATGCATATAATGTAAAAATTTTATTGTTAGCAATTAATTCAATTACTAATACGAGCTTTAACTTTATGAGCTCGTGATAATCTTGCTTCAAAATTTGAATGTGTATGTAGATTAAATTGTCGATTCTAATATTTCAATGAAATGACAAGGACGCATGAAATTAGGTAAAGATGACAATTGTTACTAATTCTCTGCGGCTTGGGGTTCATATAAACAGGCATGATGATCATGTAGCGACCCTCAGTATGGGCGTTTAAACGAAGCTTAAACAAGGCAGAATGATTTGCAACATCGTACTATAAACGACGTTTTCCACGTTGACAAAGTCCTACTAAGAGTGAAAACAAGATCTAAAACTGGGTAATAACTTCACAGTTATTGCTATATACTTGTAATATTGTATTATGTTTAATGTGATGTAAAACGCTCACAATATAACAGTGACTTAATTTAAAAAAAGAATTAAGTGTAATATTTCTTATAATAAAATGTATATATAAATGTAATGGTCCAATAGATATACGCGAAAAGTGATGAGGTCAGTGACAATTTGTGCAACTGTAGTGTAATTGGATCGTGTCCACCATAGAAAGATAAACAATAGTATATAGAAACCTATGCCATCTACACCAGCTGAGCCAATATAGATTATTCAACAAAATCATTTCCACTGCAGTCATTATCTATCTGACCATTTGAATTTGCTATTTAAATCTAATAAATCTGACAATGTAACGTATACTATGTATTGGGTACATGAGAGAAACATAATACAGGATAAAGTTCTAATCCATAAAGCATGCAACATAATATATGAGAGATATGTACTAATATGTTTGAACTTTAAAAGGATGGATTAATTACTTAACTCTCACTTTTTGGAAACAAAAACACATTTGTCTGCTTTATTATTGATTATTTAAATTCTTAAAAAAATTTTTGTGGTTGCTTATTTATGTTTAAAATACATATAAATATATTAAATAGGATCAAATATGATTGATACAAAGTAAAATATTTCTAAATTCCAATGAAATTATATATTACTATGTAACAAATTGAATTATTATCTCTTAAAAAAATTATCTGTTACTACATAACAAATTTAAATTGTTAATTCTTTATTTATTTTTACAAGTCTATGTATATACATTTTTCTTTGTGTACATACATATAATATATTTCTTTTACACTATGTATGATATATTTTTTATAATATATTTAACTTATTTTACTTTGTTATTTATTACAAAATAACGGATATTTAATTTTAGCAAAATTTTCTGATTTTTATCCGGCTATATATTTAGAATTTTATTATTATTTTCTCTTATAAAATTCGACGAGCGCATAAATTACTTTGCAAAAATGAGCGATAAAATATATTTTCCAGTGAATGTGCGAGGCAAAAATCAATCAGTGTGAGTGTGAGAAGCACGACTGACAGTTTGATTAACCTGAATTATCGAAATACGATGGGAAAGGTATTGTACTGATTGATATGCAATTAATGCTTATAAATACTTGTCCAATATTTGTCCATAAAATTTATAACTCTATATATTTATAAATACGAATGTATACATATATGTGTTCTAAAGAATATTATTTCAGATTTTTAAGATAAATTATTAATTTTACATATAATACATACATGTTCATACAATACATAATTTCTAAAAACGTTTTAAAGACATTCAAAGAACTTCCCTATGTTTTAAAAACATTCTAAGACATCCCTTAGATATAGTATGTACATAGATATTAACTTTTATTTTTTTAAACATCTAAATTATAACATAACATGTTTTAAAAGTAAAATATAAATAGGCAAACCTATATATTTCATATTGCACATTTATTATTCCTTATAACATTCAGAAAATGGTCATCTTTTATTCAACAAAAATTTGATTTTATATATTAGGTGTTGGAATTAATTCGTAGCGTTTTACAAGTGATGGGAAGTACTTTCATTAATGTATTTTTTAATGCTCATG